TAAAGAGTGGCGGGAAAAGTACAAACGTTGTGAAAGCAATAAAAATAAGGTGAAGGAAGTTTAATATACAAACTTAGTGTTTGTTGCGTTATTTTTTGCGTGCATTAGTAACTTTTTAAGCAAAGGGCCAGGGTTTTATTAATATACACTACTGTTTCAATTTATCTTTTTCTGCCTTGATCTTTTTCATTTAGAATGACGGCAGCTTAATTGAGGGCTCAAATATTCTTTGGAAAGCGCAACCTCGTCCAGCCAACTCCACAGAGGTGTTTTTCGTTGGTACACGTAGAGCTCTTGTTCCTGTGTTGCATTTTGAGTTATATTCTTACTTTTCGAAATTTCTGTGCTATTTTCTTCTATCTATGTAGTTAGATATTTTTGATCTTAGTTTTTCAGATGTATAACTTTACAAACTTTACTTTGCTTTTAAATGACCCGGCATTCATAACCAATGAATTACCTGCTACCGACTCTCGTCTGAGGCCTGACATACGTTTATTAGAACAAAAGAAGATCGGTCAGCTATTGCTTTGTGATTGCATGTTCTGGTCTTTTTTGGAGGCGAGGAGCTAAAAATCTTTATAAAATGCTATAGTCAACTGTTTTTTTTTATTATTCTTGAATTCTCACTTTTCGACATGTGCTTTTTCAGACGAAGCAGCTGCTGAAAAAGGAAGGTTGGAAGTAAAACAAAGGGAGGCTAAAGCAAATTGTGAAAAAAATAATTTGGAGAAAGCACCTAAGTTTGTTTATTGTTTCGACCTTCTGATTGTTATCTATATGAGCCTTTCCCTCAGAAGCCGCACACTGTTTTTAATTGGGCTCTTAGATTTTTCTCAATCTTTTGCTAGCTTCTTAACGAGTTGGTATTTGATTGTGAAATCAGAGGAAGCGTTTTAAAAGTGCGGCGATGACAAAGTTAAACTTTTCTGAACTGCGAAGTGAGCATAAATTTTGCTGAACCTGATCATTATCAAGGTCTTATAATTCTGCCTACTCAAAACGGATTTGTGAAGGTTTTTCCTTTAAAAAATTATCTCCCGCAGGCTTAGGAAAGCTGTGAGTTGGATATGTTATCAAATTATATGAAAAACTAAACTAAAAAAATTTGAAATTTTTTCCTAAAAAACAACAATTCAAATTTTCTAAAGAAGCAATAATTTGTAGAGGAATATTTTTCAAGCAGCAAATTGAAATTACAAAATGCCATCTTTATAGCGTTACAATTTCTATTTCAGTTAGTGAAACTAAAAAATCTTTATTTGGTGTAGCACCGTAACGTCTTTGCTAGCGATAGCATGCTAGTTTCATTTGAAATATTATATTGAGGTATACCTCAGTTCTACTAATTTGGTAGCAGGTATTTAATCAAGAGTTTTTTGCTGTTAAGTGATATGAATTCATAATTTCGAAATGATTATTATTATAGGTACTTCACTCTGTGTCGTTTTGCTTCGTCACTGAACTTTTGTGACTCGAATTTTAAAATTTACTGTTGGCTACTGACGATGATCACTGTTTTGCAAGTTATATTCTTAGGAGTGCGTCAATTAGCTTTTTTTCTGAGGACATGACGGTGACGGTTTAAGAAGTCATTTAGGGTTATTTTTGGACAACTGTGCAGGCCATGGACTCATTTATCTGTAAAATTCGTTTCTGATATGGATATTCACGACTCATTCATTCTATTTAAGCAAGGGCTCCTTGACTTCTGCTGTTTCTACAGTATTCTCGTAGTATGAGACTGCCTTACTCATGCCTCTGTGGCTATAGATATCTTTTAACACTATTTTTCAAGTTTTCTGAAGAGAAAATGCAACTTGAGTAAAATTATCAACTTTTCCGATGGAGGTGTGTTACAGCACAGAGATTGGAAAAATTCAAAGTTATGGCATAAAGAAGTTTGGCGTGGAAAAGTCTCTCTGATAGCGTAAATGGTGCGTTTGAAGGACTAACATCGAGAGCCAGGCAAAAAAAGAAGTTTTCAGGCCAAAGTCTCGTATCCTGAGAAGAGTGTGAAAAAGAGTGCTTTTAATACAGCAGTTTTGTTTAAGTCTGCTTATCACAGGCACAAAAGGAGTTTATTTATTGTCCTGCGCTGTAGATCTAAGGCGTTTAATGAGGAAATTGATTGGTTTAGACTAAAAAAGCTGATAATAATAATAATAATAATAATAATAATAATAATAATGACAATAATGACAATAACAATAAATTTTCTTTTAAAAAATTGTTTCAAATCACTCAGCAGCAAAAGTTTTTTGATTAGGTGCCATTGTTGAACTTGTCAAACCGAAGCATATTTTAATACAATAATACTCCATTTGAAACAGAAAGGTCCCACTTGCAGGGGCACCAAAATTTTACTTGAAGGCAAGTTTTTTTGCAGTCTAGGCTCGCTGATTAGGACTTAACTTGTGATACAATTAAGATCCTACCTTATAATTTAAAAACGTTGTACATAAATTATTTCTTAAAAAATACGTCATTATTATAAAATATAAATTTTTTTGTTAACGACTTTTTGAAATTTTGCTTGTACTCTAATTTTTTATGCGGTTGCAGGAAATACCCTACTCAAACTCTTTCGAGTTTGAGAGGGATAATTTTTTTAAAATTTAAAACAAAAAATTTATTTTATAATTGACAGGATTACAGAACCTTGATGATGAAAATGTTTAGTAAAAATCACATTTTCTTTAGAGCGGTCTTACCTTGCTGTCGCTGTGCTATTCGGGCACTTTTGTTATTTCACAGGCAGGTGAAATTTTCTAAAGAATGGCAAATTAAAAAAAGTTGAAAAGTTGCCTACAAGTAGGGCGTGATTCATTGTGGAAGGACTCATATATATATTTATTTATATGTTCATATATAGTGGTGGCTGTTTCTGGTTTTATAACTCTCATCTTTTGATATTTTCATTCCCATACTGTGAACATTACTGTTTTTGAAACTTAATAACTAAGCTCTTGTCTAGTAATTAAAATAAGAGTTGGTCAGTTTTTTAATACAAGACAACGACGAAAAACCGTTTTAAAAGTTTGGAAAACTAGTCACGATCGCAGCGAAATATCGTAGTACAGGATGATAATGTTCAGTGACTCACAACTTCATCGGATAGCCGTTACTCTTTGTGACAACTTGGTAGTTCATAATTACACTACTTTTATTTTACCGCTAGGGTATTTCGCTGTGTTCTGCAAGCTAATTCACTGAATACGGACAGTGTAATTTTTGATTGATAGTTATTATGGCCTGTAAAAGTCTTGTATCTTTCTTGTGTGTACAAACACAGAAAATGCCTTCTAGAGCGTCGTAACACTTCTTGCTGCAAATCATTAAGGTGGAAAGATAGATTCTTTTGAAAAAGTAGTTTTTTCTTTTGTTATTATAACCACCACTATGTATATTTACTTTTTTTGCTGTTTATTTATTCACTTGTTTTTTTACTTGTATGTGTAACTTCACAAATTTTCTCATAAATTTCTTGCTGGAAAATTTTTGAAGATTTAGAACTTTTGTCTGGTGAATTAAGTTTTTATTGTTTTAGGTGGTTCGATAAACAAGGAAAGAAAAAGATGTGGATTTTTAACGGTAGATATTGGAATCGTAATTTTGGCGAGTGTGAGGAGATTTTCTAAGAAAGTTGTCTTTTGTCTATTCCTTGGACTCCGAAGTTGGCTTTATTAATGATTTTGGGGCTCGACTCCGAAGTTGGCTTTATTAATGATTTTGGGGCTTGATACGTTTCTTTTTGCTTTTAGGGTTGAAACTTTTAAAACGGTTGTAGTTGACAGTGGCTTCAAATATAATGATTATAGGGGACAGACTTTTTTGTTAATATTTATCAACGTTTCTTTGTTTTCTTCTTGAAAAACTTAATTTTTGATCTTTGCTTTCTTGATTTATGCGTTTTTGTAAGTACTTGTCTTCTTAATTCTTATTTTTCAATTTTGAAATATGTAAAGCCTTTGGGAATTTTTTTGTTTCTAAGTTTAACCAACAGTATTCCAAGATGAAAATGCTTTAAGTTTCTTTTCCTTTTTGAGCACAGCACGTCTGTAAAAAAAAACTTGAATACAGACTGGCACATTAAGTTGTATAAGTAGCCATCTGACATTTTATAGCTCTCATTTTTGTTGCAGTTATGTCTTTTCATCTGCGTTTGAAATGCAGAGCGGGATTTTTATTGCACGTATTTCATGTTTACGGGAAGTTTGGTACAAATTGCTTTTTCCCCCACTTTTCTTTTACTGTTTCGAACAGGTTTTAAAAAATTGATGGAGATAAGGGAAATTTGAGATTGCAATTCGAAACGAGACCATTTGCTGCTGAAACAGCATGTTGTATATCTGCGTGCATACTGATTATATAGGTATTTTTGAGTTTTCGATATGCTGTTGTCAATAAGTTTCGTCACTGTCGTCGCTTGGGTTTACTTTTTTGTCGTGAAACTTGTAAAATAGCTACTGTCAAGAACTGAATTTTGTTTTTAGATGGTATCCTCAGGCAGCGCTAAGTGTTGGTGACGGAAGTAAGTGGGTGAGAAAGGAAGTGTCAAAATAAAGTGGGTTGAGTGAAGTGGTGAAAGAAAGACTGGAGGATAGATTTTGGTCCTGTAATAATTTTTTTTCAAGTTATGGCTCGTGTTATTGGTCCGAATAATCTATTCTTTACAGGTGATCAGCTTGACTGCTTTTCTTTCTATCTTACCTGGCGTAGTTTTTATTTTCGTTAGTCTCAAAACTTTGGCAAAACTATTTCTTTACATCAAATTCAACCTCACAGGTATAGTTCGGAAAGATCGGAAGAGCGCAAAGAAAGTTTGAGGAGATGAATTCAAGAAAAAACTTTTTTTATTAATTTCATTACATGTGTTAATGAAGTAAAGAGAAACGCAAATTTTGTTATTTTATGGAGAGCTTACAAGATAAGCATGAGTGAGACGGGCTAAATATAAAGTAATTTTTAGAGGGTAAACGTTTAAACATTTGAAAAGCGGTAGTTAGAAGCTAAGTGTAATCATCCTTTTTGTTAGACTTGCATGAAAGTAATGGTGATAGTGTTGTAACCGTATTTCGTGTATCGGTTACGGCGGCAAGATACTCAGCATATTTTTCGCATAATGTCCTCTAAAAATCGCTTTTTTTAGTACCATGGAGTTCTATTCTATCTGCAGCAGTTAGTTGAAAGAAAAATTTGGTTTTTTGTTGTCAGCAATCGTTTGTTTCAAAAGTACATGTTTAAGAGAGAATTTTCCGATTATTTATCGTTTTTTTCTCAACACAATTGATGTGATTTTTTTTAATCCGGAAGTTCTTATGTCGTAGAGAAGCTGATTATTTGTATTTATTGAAATACAGTTGCTTTTAATTGTTTTGTCACTTTTGGCTCTATGGCCTTCGTTGATACAGCTATGATAGTAGTCTTTCTAATCGTCTTAATTTTATGTTATTGCTGAGGCGCCTTGATTTCTCAGTTTTTCTTGAGTGTAATAAGAATGATCGTTAATGTAACTAGTGGGTTTAGTTGTTTTTACCTCACTTGCGTGTGCCGCATTTTGACATCCATTATAACGATTTTAAGATATGTGGTGTAAGTGTTGGGCAGGCCGTCTTCGTGTCATTATGTCAGTGTGTCGACACTAAAAGATCTTGTTCGACTGATAAGCTACGACACTAGTGGTAATGGAATGTCCAATCGATGTTCAAAATTGCAACGCTTCCCTTCCATGTTTAAGATTTCTGTGTTGGTCATCAGCTACAACTTGAAGAGTGTCATTTGCTCCGCTTTTCTTGGTTGTTTCAATTGCTTTAGCACTGTTTTACGGGGCTATTACTAGCCTGTAGTAAAAAACCTGTAGTAAAAACCAGGTTTGATAAACTTGTTGAATAAACATGTA